GCTTGCCCCGCGCATACCCTAAGCCTACCCTAGGCTTACCCCACGCTTACCTTACGTCTAACTTGGGCTTACCCGAGGCTTGCCCTGGGGTAAGCCTGGGCTCGCACTAAGCTTACCCTAGGCTTACCCTACGCTTACTTTACGCCCGCCCTGGGCTTAACCTAAGCGCGCCATAGGCATGCCCCAAGCCCACTTTAAGCCTACCTTGAACTTTCCCTGGGCGTGCCCTAGGCTTGCCCTAGGCCCACCCTAGGCTTACCCTGGGCTTGCCCCAAGCTTGCCTCAAGCTTGCCTGAAGCCTGCCCCAGGCCTACCTTGTGCTTACCCTAGGCTTACCTTAGGCTTGCCTTTCGCTTGCCTTGGGCTTACCCCAGGCCTACCCTGGGCTTACCTTGGGCTTGCCTTGGTGCTACCTTAGGCCTCCCCTCGACTTAATTACCCCTAGGCTTGCCCCGCGCTTACCCTGAGCTTGCCTTTAACCTTCTCTGGGCTTACCTCGGGCTTGCTCTGGGCTTGCCCTGGGCTTGCCCTGGGCCTACCCTAGGCTTACCCTGAGCGTGCCCCAGGCTTGCCCTAAGCCCCCAAGCCTGCCCGAAGCTTACCTGAAGCCGACTTTTGGCTTAACTTGCGCCTGCCCTGGGCTCGCCCTGCGCTTGCAGTAAGCCTGGCCTAGGCCTACCCTAAGCCTACCCTTAGCTTAGCCTGGGCTTGCCTTTTGGCCTGCCCTGCGATTTGCCCTGCGCTCACCCTAGGCGGTGACGGGCCCACGGGGGGCAGGCCCGCCCCCCCCCCCCGAGCGCGGGCTGCATTGAAGGGGCAGGAATGCGGGGAGGCGGGCCCATAGGAATATGCAAGACATGGTGCAGCGGCTAGGTCCCTCGATTAGACTTCGCCTGGCAGGGCGCCTGGCGTGGCTGGGTTCAACTCCGCCCCCCCCCCACCCCACCCCGCGCGGCCCGCTCCACGGGAGGTGGGCCCACTCCCACGCCTGCTAGGCGCGGGCCCACGGGAGGTGGGCCCGCCCCCACGCCTGCCAGGCGCGGGCCCACGGGAGGTGGGCCCGCCCCCACGCCTGCTAGGCGCGGGCATCCCTGGTGGTGGGCCCGCTCCCACGCCTGCTGGGCGCGGGCCCGCGGGGGGTGGGCCCGCCCCCACGCCTGCTAGGCGCGGGCCCAAGGGAGGTGGGCCCGCCCCCACGCCTGCTAAGCTTGGGCCCGCGGGAGGTGGGCCCGCTCCCACGCCTGCTAGGTGCGGGCCCGCGGGGGGTGGGCCCGCTCCCACGCCTGCCAGGCGCGGGCCTGCGGGAAGTGGGCCCGCGCCACGACTGCTAAGCCGCGGGGCCTCCCACGGGAGGCGGGGCCCGCTCCCATGACTGATGAGCGGCGGGCCAGCGGGGGCGGGCCCGCTCACGCGCCTGATAGGCGCGGCCCGCGGGCGGGCGGGCCCGCCCCCGAGCCTGCTAGGCGCTGGGCCTGCGGGATGCGGGCCTCCTCTCCCTCGCTTTGCTAGGCGCCGGACACGCGGAGGTGGGCCCGCGCCCGCGCCTGCTAGGCGCGGGCCCGCGGGAGGTGGGCCCGCTCCCGCGCCTGCTAGGCGCGGGCCCGCGGGAGGTGTTCCGCGCCCAAGCCTGCTAAGCGCGGGCCCACGGGGGGTGGGCCCGCTCCCACGCCTGCTGGCGCGCGGGCCCGCGGGAGGTGGGCCCGCTCACGCGCCTGCTGGGCGCGGGCCCGCGGGGGGTGGGCCCGCCCCCACGCCTGCCAAGCGCGGGCCCACGGGCCGCTCCCACGCCTGCTAGGCGCGGGCCCGCGGGCGGCGGGCCCGCTCCCACGCCTGCCAGGCGCGGGCCTGCGGGAGGTGGGCCCGCCCCCGCGCCTGCCAGGCGCGGACACATGGGAGGTGGGCCCGCTCCCACGCCTGCTGGGCGCGCGCCCACGGGGGGTGGGTCCGAGCACGTGCCTACCCGAAGCTTGCCCCACGCCTGCCCCAAGCCTACCCTAGGCTTACCCTACGCCTGCCCTGCGCCTACCCGAGGCTTGCACTAGGGCAAGCCTAGGCTCGCCCTGCCGACCTGGGCGCCGATGAGCGTCACTTTCCCATCAGCCGCTTTGACATTTTGCCTCACTCCCCCCACCGCACCATGCGCAGCCGTGGATACAATCGAATGCACTGGAACTTCCTGAGCGGGCCCGCCCCCGCGCCTGCTAGGCGCGGGCCCACGGAAGGTGGGCCCGCCCCCGCGCCTGCTAAGCGCGGGCCCCGCGGGGGGGTGGGCCCGCTCCCACGCCTGCTAGGCACGGGCCCGCGGGAAGTGGGTCCGCCCCCACGCCTGCCAGGCGCGGGCCTGCGGGAGGTGGGCCCGCGCCCACGCCTGCCAGGCGCGGGCCCACGGGGGGTGGGCCCGCCCCCACGCCTGCTAAGCGCTAGGCGCCCCCGCAGCCTCCAGAGGCTTTCCAGGAGACCCTGAATTGATGGCGCCAGCGAGCTTGGGGCCGCAAGGTCCTTGGCTTCTGGGCACAGCAGGCACAGGCACAGCAGACACAGGCATCTCCTCCCCTCCCCCCGCCTGCCTGAGGCAACGCAGTGAAATGGGAAAGTGCAATAGAATAGGGCGAGCAGACTACGCAATAACCCCCCCTTCCTTGGAAGAATATCGACATCGTAGTCAAATGGGGCATTTCACCTCCCACATTCTGACCTGCTTGGGTTCAATTCCTGGTGGTGCCTGTGGGGCCTACTTGCTGGAGGTTGTCATGGCATTGACAGTGACATTTCAGGGGAAATCACTGTAGAAAGGATTCTGTGCAAGTAAAGCCTTTTTGATCTCTGTAGAGCTTTGCGTACCGAGGAATTCTGGAATTTAGATAAATGAGCGCCGTGTGCGGGGACGCGCTGCGCAGAGGCAAGAAAAATTCGGGGCCCCTGGATGAAACCGAAGGGCCCCCGGAGTATGGGAGATTGCCCCATTTTACTACAATGTCGATATTATTTCAGGGAAGGGGGGGTGTGGGCTTAGTCTGCTCGCCCCGTTCTATTGCATTTTCCCATTTCACTGCGTTGCCTCAGGCAAGCGGGGGGGGGGGGGGAAGCAGAAGCAGCAGCAGCAGGGGCAGCGCCCCCTATTTGTTTTGCATTTTTGTCCTGGTGAGGGCTGCAGCCTCAAGGCCTTGCAGGCACACCAGAGGGTAGCGCGCATCTGCGTCTGACAGGGGGGCCCTGTGCCAGGCGCCCACCTTGCATGGGGGCCCCATTCCTGATGGTGCCTTTGGGGCCTGCTTGGGAGCGCAGGACGGCCCCGCGCACCCCCCGCCCCCTGGGGACAACTGGAGCTTCCTGGGGGCTGGGCTGGCTCTGCTGGGGCGGGGCCTGCGGGGGCTGGGCGCGGCCCTGAGGCAGCTGCGGGGCCACGCATCTGGAAGCGGAAGCGGAGGCAACGCAAAATCCATCGAGCAGCCGGGCTTGTAAGACCACGCCCGGCTTGTTTTTTCTTTGGTTTTGGACAGACTTTCGTGTTTCCACCTTTTCGGCTTCCCGACGCCCCAAGACGGCCCAAGAGGCCCCCAAGATCGCCCATCAGGGCCCAGGAGGCCCCCAAGAGGGCCCCAGTACCGCCCAAGAGGGCCCCCAGGCGGCCCAAGAGGCCTCCAAGACGGCACACGAGGGCCCCTAGTGTAGAGCGCCCCAAAAGTGGCCCCAGAGGGGGAGCACGAGACAACATTTCGAGTTCTCGGTCATGAGAGGCCCCCAGGAAGCCCCAAGAGGCTCCCAAGAGCCCTCAGGAGGCCCCCAAGAGCCCCCAAGACGCCCCCAAGACGCCACCAAGAGGCCCCCGAGCGGCCCCAGGAGGCCCCCCCAATGCCCCCGCAAACAGCCTTCGAACGAAACATCTTGTCCACAACCAAGTTTGGACTCCAAATGCCTCAAGAAGCCAAAAAAAACATCCAGATGCCACTTCCTCATCCTCATCCTCATCCTCCCCCCGTCGTCGTCGTCGTCCGCCTCCTCCTCCTCCTACTTCTCGCTCCGAAGGTCGGACCACTCACGACAAGCTCCGAAGAAGCTGCTTCATTTCCATGCGTGCTGTCACAGAGCCCCCAGGACACGACCACAGCCCAACAACGCCGCGCGCCCCACCAACACGCAGACAAACGCCGCCCATGGCACAACACGGGCCGGCGTAATGAGCGAAGCGATTCAATAAAAAGGTCGGGGCGGAGGGGGCGCGCTGGCTGGTGGGTGGGGGGATGGTGGTCTGAGTGGGTGGGTGGGGGTGCCGTGCCGAAATAAAAAGGTCGGGGCGGAGGGGGCGCTGTGGGGGGTGGGCGGCATGCGGATGGGGGCGCGTGGGATGGTGGGGGCGGCGTGCCGAAATAAAATGGTCGGGGCGGAGAGGGGGCGCGCTGGCTGGTGGGTGGGGGGAAGGGGCGCGGGAGATGGGGGCGCGCTGGGGGCGCGCTGGCTGGTGGAATGGGTGGGTGATGGCTGGAGGGGGTGCCGTGCCGAAATAAAGTGGTCGGAGCTCTAGACACCCTTTGCAAGAGAACAATATTCTGTACTTGCCGCGTGCGATGGCGACGGCGACGGCGACGGCGAAGACGGGGGCGAAGACGGTGACGAGGGCGGCGACAGTGACGGCGACAAACGGCGACGACCGGGGCCTCTACTCCGTTAACACTCCTCCCTCAAACTTACTCTCCCTAACTCGAACCCCTCCCCGCCATGTTTTGGGAAATCCGTCCGGCCAGCCACTCCCAGAACACGGCGGAAACCGAATGGCGGCTACAAACTCCCCCATCCCCCTCCTCGTGGACTCCCCCAGACTGAAGTCCCCCCCCTTCCCCCATCTTCCGCCACTGAGCTCTCAAGCGCCACACTAGCCCTAAACCTCAGGAGCTTCAGCCACAAAAAACGTCAGGGACCCTTGGGAACTCCCTCCATGCGTCGGGTCTGTTTGAAATCGTGCGGAAAACATTGATAATTAATCATGCCCGTCACATGGCAACGCCTCAAAGAATAACAGCACAATTCAATGATAGTCGCCGGGTGGCAACTCAAGACGGAGGGAACACCAGTACTATACTGTACTGGTCACGTGCCTGCGCATGGGGGCGCAAACAAATAGCACGGTGCTCGGCCGCGCCTGAGACGAATCGCGTACCAATGTGTATTGGTCGCCACGCGGCAATGCACGGCGCAACAAAGACGGGCTCACTATGTTCGCCAAGTGGCAACGCTGGGCGGCACAGAACATAGCATGACGCCCCACCCGCCACTTGGCAGCGCATTGGGGAAAGGGGGCTGACTGACGCTGTCCTCTTCGACTCGCCGCGTGGCATCGCCTGACGCAGAAACATGCAACGCTACTCCACTCGTCGCGTTGCATCGCAGGGGGCGGGCACCTGCAATTATTTTACATCGCCGCGCGGCAACGCAAGGCAACTGAAACAATCGCCAGCTATACCCACCACGTGGCATCGCCTGGAGGGACCAGGAATCGTATTATAGGATGCTCGCTACGTGGTAACACACGGGGCGAACACATACAACTCCACTCTGCTCGTCTCGTGGCGACAACCAAATGCATCCTGCTCGGCCCGTCGCGCGGCGATCCCAAGACCGACATAATACCATTCTATTGTACTCGCCGCGCGGCAACGCTGGATGTGGAACACTACTACACTACTCTACCCATCACGCGGCAGCGCAGGAGGGGAGAAACAACACATATATTCCTCTAGGCGAAATTGGACAATGCTGGAAGCAGCCGGCGGCGGGCCACGAATTCCGACTCGCCCAAATGACGACCGCGACGAACTCTTCCTGTTCCTCAGTGTCGACCTGCTCCCCATGCTCGCGGTGCACCTCGCCCTCCTCGCCGTTCTCCGTTCTTTGCTCTTCGTCCTCCCCGTCCCCCACGTCGTCTGCCTTCGCCTCGTACTCCTCCTCGTCCTCCACCAGAGGGAGGCGCGCCCAGCACTCGGGCGGACATGCAAGGTACCAGCTGGTGCGCCAGAGACCAGCGAGCGGGCCGGTGCTTCAAGCAGGGAATCAAGCAATCGTTCCTCTCGGGATGCCTCCGCCTCTTCTCTTCTCCCGCCATGTTGACGATGGCCAGACTTTAGCTCAAGGGCTGCAGCGCCCTTGGCAGAAGGAAATCAGTGCGAGGCCGACTTGGGAACCCCACGTTACAGATTGGGCATGGCGGGCACCGCGGGAAAGGGAACGGCGACAGAGGCAAGAACAAAAACAATTTTGGCCTGAAGGGCACAGAGTATGCGCACGCTCTGCTGTACATGAGGAGAGGTAGGTCGAACAAGAACCGAAAACCGACGGTACGAACAAGAGCGATCGAAATATACGTGAAACAGACAATGCAAAGTTGCGTGTCTGCGTAGTACTCTTCCTCTTCCTGCTCGCGCATCCTCGTCCTTCCCCTCCCTCTTCCTCCAGCGCACCTTCCAACTCCTCTTGATCGCCATCCTCTTCCTCCATCAAATCGTTCGCCTGGTACATACGGACCTGAGACAAACGAACATTTCTCAAGAATATGAGACCCTCCGCCGGCCAAGAGACTCCAAAGCCTACGATCAATCGAGGGTGCCCTCCCCCAGGATGCACAAGAACAGCAGACAAACACCAAGTACATTGAGGCACCCTCCCCTGCTTCGATCCTGCACCTCGGTCCGACCGCAAGCGTTCTCCTTTTCCTCCTCCTCTTCCCGCCCCGCCTCGTCGAGCCCTCCCGGTTGTCACAGCTGGCGCTCCCAGAGCTTCTCTGGGGTGGTATTCCTCGTATTCGCGAGTTCGCGCGCGCGTTCCTGCGGGTTCCTTGGGTCGTCGCCCCTCTCTCCAGACTTGGTTCCACCGTTTCACTCGGCAGCGAGCCCATGGGGGGAAGTGAGAAGGAGAAGGCCTTCACAGAAGGCGGCGGGGCTTCTCCGAAGCCCTCCGGCCTTCTGAGAAGCCTTCTTTGTCTTCGGGGAAAAGAGGCCAGGGGGCGTCCGCGACTTCCGAAAAGGCCTTGTCCTTCTCACTTCCCCACAGGGCTCGCCGCCGATTGATGTGTTTTCCTCGTTCCCCCGGGTCGAGGCGTTCCCGTACATGCCCACCCGCGCTGGCCAGGCCCATCCCAAGCCAGGGAGGCGTCTACACCGCTCCCGGGGCCACGTCGAGCGACGCTGCCCGCCTGGATGGACGAGGGCGAGACGAGCAGAGACCAAGAAGCTCTCACGATGTGAAGTCGACACGGGGTCAGACCTGATCAACTCTCCCAACAATAATGTCATCGGCGCTGGCTCCGTACAAACCTCCAGCTAGCCACGTGGCAACGTAGGCGGGTAGAGGCATGCGTCGCAAAGATCGAAGAGGCTGCAGGGCACTGGTTCAGGAGGTACCTTCGGTCGCGTCGCACGGTCATCTGCAGTGCAAGACAGGACGGTCACCAAGACGGCAACGCGAGAAGGCATCGGGTTAGGAACTTGAAACGGATGGACTGACGAGGCAAAGACCAGGTAGAATAGAGCATGTAAAGATATAGCGAGGGAGAGAAAGAGAGAGAGAGAGATAAAAAACATGTACATGTATATACGCAGCACCCCGCAATAGCGGGTAAGAGTGAGGGGGCGGGCGCGGGCGACGCGGGCGTCGAGCCGGCGGACCTCGTGGCCCTGACGAATGCAAAAGAAGCCTGGAACGAATGCAAAAGAAGCCCGCCGCAAGCGCCGAAAACTTTGGGTGGGTCGCGGGGTGGGTCGCGGGTGGGTCGCGGGTGGGTCGCGGGTGGGTCGCGGGCGGGTCGCGGGGTGGGTCGCGGGGTGGGGCGCGGGGTGGGTCGCGGGTGGGTCGCGGGTGGGTCGCCGATGCACAAAAAAACCCGCCGCAGGCGCCGAGATTTTGGCTTGTTCAGTGAACGTAGTTTGGGGCGCGGGTGGGTCGCGGGCTCTCCTCCTCCACCTGGAAGGAATTCAAAAACAGCCCGCCGCAGGCGCCGAAAGTTTAAATTTGTACACTGAACGCTGTTTGGGTCGCGGGTTCTCCACCTGGAACGACATGGAACGAATGCAAAAGAAACCCGCCGCGGGCGCTGAAAATTTTGGGTGCGTCGCGGGGTGGGTCGCGGGTGGGTCGCGGGTGGGTCGCGGGTGGGTCGCGGGGTGGGTCGCGGGTGGGTCGCGGGTGGGTCGCGGGGTGGGTCGCGGGTGGGTCGCGGGTGGGTCGCTGGGGGGGGTTCGGGGTGGGTCGCGGGAGGGTCGCAGGGTGGGTCGCGGGTGGGTCGCGGGTGGGTCGCAGGTGGGTCGCGGGGTGGGTCGCGGGTGGGTCGCGGGGTGGGTCGCCGGTGGGTCGCAGGTGGGTCGCGGGGTGAGTCGCGGGTGGGTCGCGGGGCGGGTCGCGGGTGGGACGACGACAACAAACAACAAACAACAAACAACAAACAAGAAACAACAAACAGCAAACAGCAAACAACAAACAGCAAACAACAACAACAACAACAACAACAACAATCATTTTACCCGAACGCGTGGTGTTCTCCCCAGTGCCAGGGTTTTCATACGACACCAGGCAATACCCCCACTTCGTGGGGGGGCATTACAAGCTCTACCAAATATCCAAACGACTCTTCGCGACCACCCAAACCCAGCTTCCCGCCCTATGACGTTGGGACACTTCACTTCGTGGCGTGCGGACGACCGTGGCTACTACACTGGCGCGGGGTACACACCCACAGAACCCAATGGTTTTTGGAGATTTCGGCGTGCGCGCGCGAAGAAAAAACGAATGTGTCCCGCATGGTATTATTTGACAGGGATGATGGCCCTGGCAGGTGCGCAACCGTTGTCGCAGAAGTTCGAAAAAGTTGCTCGCAAAAGCCCGTTTGACAGAAATGTTTAAAAAGTGTTGGGTTTCCTACGAATCCGCAAGAGCGCGCGGGATGAGATTTTGACATTTTTTTGTTGAAAAACCATTGGTTTTTTGATGTTTTTATGTTAAAATCGCTCCGAACACTAAGCTTTTGGAAGGATTTCGTCTTGCGCGCGCGAATGTCCACTTTACCTTATTTTTTGCAAGGGATTCTTGAAATTTGATATATTTGAACAAGAAATTTCATTTTATAGTGTTTTTTGCAAGGGAAAGCGGGGGGGAACAAAACAACCTGATCTGGATGACATCGAATTACCTGAGGCTTCCTCACGAAAATGATGAAAACGTGGCTGCGGCCTAGGCGCGGCGGGGGGGGCGCGCACCAGGGGGCCCAACAATAATTATTCTTTAGAATTAATCATGTTCAATAACAACAACAACAACAACAACAACAACAACAACAACAACAACAACAACAACAACGACAACAACAACAACAAACAACAGCAACGACCAACAAGCAACAACAAACAACAACAAACAACAACAAGCAACAACAACAACAACAACAATAACAACAACAACAACAGCAGCAGCAACAACAACAGCAGCAGCAACAACAACAGCAACAGCAACAACAACAACGACACCAACAACAGCAATCAGTTTAAGACTGTTCGCCCTTATCTGCTCGAGTGTCCAATAACGCGTATTTCCCAAACACTCGATACCCGCCCTCTTCGTCTTCGATCGAACTCCTTTTGGGGGTTATACCTTTCTTCCCTGCAGGCCGGGCCCCGGCAAGCGGCGGGGCGGCCGCGGACCGTCGGCCTGGCCAGCGGCAGTGCTGATCGGCGGGGCGGCCGCGGACCGTCGACCCGTCCACAAGAGGGACGGACAGGGAACCGACCACGACGACGATGACGACGTCGACGTCGACGGAGACGACGACGACGAGCAAAAGCGAGAGAGAACGACAGCAGGGCCACAAGGACACGAAGTAGGCCACGAAGGGCGACAGCGGGGGCACAAAGGGAATGCGTATGGGGCCACGAAGAGCGCGAACAAGCGGGGGCCACGAAGGGCATACATATATGGGGCCAAGGAGGGCAATGACGGGGCCACTGAGGGCAGAAACGGGGCCACGAAGGGCAGCGAGGGGGGCCACGAAGGGCGACAGCGGGACCACGAAGGGCAGGAAGGGGGCCACGAAGGGCGACAATGGGGCCACGAAGGGCATGCGCATGGGGCCACGACGGGCGCGAACTATCGGGGGCCACGAAGGGCAGATCATGCGGGGCCACAGAAGGCATCGACAGGGCCACTGAAGGTAGCAACTGGGCCACGTAGGACAGCGAGGGGGCCACAAAGGGCGACAGCGGGGCCACGAAGGGCATGCGGGCCACGACGGGCGCGAACGAACGGGGGCCACGAAGGGCATACGTATACTGGGCCGCGGAGGGCAAGGACGGGGCCACTGAGGGCAGCAACGGGGCCACGAAGGGCAGCGAGGGGGGGGCCACGAAGGGCGACAGCGGGGCCACGAAGGGCATGCACATGGAGCCACCACGGGCGCGAACAAGCGGGGGCCACGAAGGGCATACATACATGGGGCCACGAAAAGCAGCGAGGGAGCCACGAAGGGCAGCGAGGGCGCCGCGAAGGGCTGCAACGGGGCCACGAAGGGCTGCGACGGGGCCACGAAGGGCAGCGAGATCCCGATTCTTAGGTGATCTGTGAGGGAGTCCTAATCTTGAGTGCGACTACTGGGTGCCTGGGTGTCGGGAGCGCGGCGCTTGAGTATATTGCAAGAATTTCCAACGCAAGGACGGAAGGACGCTATTCTTCAGTAAATTGCAAGCAAGTCTCCAGCGAGAACGCGACTCCAGAGCGCCGGGAGAGCGATTCCTGAAGAAAATGCAAGGAAGTCTCGGGCGGGAGCGGGGGTCCTGGCTGAATTGTGAGGAAGTCTCAGGCGAGAGCCGTTGGAGTTGTAACCCGGGGGCCAACAATGCAGTTACGACCCTCGAGACTTTCCCTTATCAAAAAAAAGGGTGCGAGCCCCGGGAAGGGCACGTCAATCGTGAAAAAACAATGTCCACCGGACGGGGGGGATCAACAATCATTATCCTTCAGAAATGAGGGTTCAACAACAACAACAACGACGACAACAACAACAACAACAAGAATCCGCATCGCGGGATTCCTTTTCAGCCACGCACCCAGGGACAGTGAATGACCGTTCGGTTCAGTCCCCTCACTCTTATATGTATAGAGAGCGATGGGGAGGAGAAACTTATCAAGGCCAGGTGACGTGAAGGGAACGGAAGGAGGCGGCAGGAAAAGACTTGCCATCGCTCGGACGTCCAGTCCCCGTGCATTCTTCGATTTCGAGCGCGTTGGTTTCGCAAGAAGGTCCAAGGTGCTCTCCGATGGTTAACTCCGAATAACACGCACACTTCCGAACGATGCTGAGGGGATGATGTCTTCACGCTTCCGTACCCACACAGGGACTGCTCGCGCCAAAGCTGACCAGAAGTCGAGCACCGCGTTCTGATGTGGTCTGAAAGATGGCCTCCCCAATGGGGGGTCGGAACTGCTCAACCGCTGGCCTGCGCGCCCCAAGACCGGTTCCCCAACTCTCCTCGCGGCTTCCCTCTTCCGTGTCTGCGCTCTGTCCACCCATCGTTTGGGGAATCCACAGAGGAGCGAGGAGGGCGAGGGGCGGAGGGCGGAGGGCGGAGGAGAAGAAGGAGGAGGAGGAGGAGGAGGAGGAGGAGGGGGGGGAGGAGGAGGAGGAGGAGGAGGAGGAGGAGGAGGAGGAGGAGGAGGAGGAGGAGGAGGAGGAGGAGGAGGAGGAGGACCTACGTACCCAGTTACGTACATGAAAATGGCCCCCCAGTCCGCGAGGCCAGCCTCCTTCTTATATGAACGCTCGCGCAATGCGGCATACTTTCGAAACCAAATTGGATTCATGTACGTGCGTGTCTTTCTTTCGCTCCTGATCGTCAAGAGTCGCGATCTGCGAGACGCGGGGCACAGAAATCTTGACGCCCTCGCACCGCCCTATGAAGAAGGGCATATCTGCGCCTCCGAGGGTGACCTACAGTCGACGAGCGTCGTACGGCTGCAATCATTCTGAGAGGTCAGGTTCGCGAGGGTACCCGTACAGGGCAATTTTTAATACATAGGATTGTTTAAATATATTGGATGTTGAATCCATGATTAATTTATGAATATATTTATGCATGAACTCATCGATGCTTTTAATACTAGATCTCTCTATTTTCAATACATGATCCGCACGCGTAGCATGTATTAATTGTCCCAGTGCGACCCTACCTAGGAGTTGGAGCATTTAGGAAAGCAACATCTACATCTACATCGACAGCTACATTTACATATACACCTGCATCTGCATCTGCATCAACATCAACAGCGAGACCCACATCTAAATATACACCTACACCTACATCTACACCTACATCTACAATTACATATACATCTACACCTACACCTACATCCACATCTCCACCTACACCTACATCTACATCTACAATTTCGCATTGGTTTGGTTGTTGCCTTGCATTGCCTTTGCTGTTGCTCTTGTCTTAGCTTAGCGCTGTGTTATGCTATGTTATGATATGGTATGCTCTGCTGCGCTATTACATGCTATGCTATGATGTGCTGCGCTATGTTATGCTATGATATGCTGCGCTATGCTATGCTATGCTATGCTATGATATGATATACTATGCTATGCTGCGTTGTGCTATGCTAAGCTAAGCTATGTTATGCTATGAAATGCTATGCTGCGCTATCCGATGCAATGATATGCTACGCTATGCTGTGTTTGTTATGTTAATGCTGCGCTGCGCTGCGCTGCGCTAAGCTAAGCTAAGCTGAGCTAAGCTGCGCTGCGCTAAGCTAAGCTAGGCTAGGCTAGGCTAGGCTAAGCTAAGATGAAATAAGCTAAGCTGAGATGAGATAAGCAACGATAAGCTAAGGGGACGTAACTGGGGGAACCGCGGGGCGGATACTGGGGGAACCGCCCGGGGCGGTGTGCACTGCCCGGCCCCTTTAAGACAGAGAAGAAGAACCCTCTAGGCAGAGCCTAGGTAGGAAAAACGGCACTTTAGGGTCTTGCCGACGCACTTGGCTAAGCATGGGCCGAGAAACTGAAGGCACGGGGGCAATGCAAGGGCATACTTTTCTGCGCATCAGGAATCGCAGCGCAGAGTCTGACGACGGTCCATGAGTGGGTCGCAGGAAGACGCCGCTGTTTATAACTTTAGCTCAAGGAAGCGCCGCTAGGACGACAAGTACAAATACATTATTGGAAAACCGCGTTTGCAAAGTCACTCCGCTGGTTCATGATGGACTTGCACCTAGTGGTGCTTGAGAGCCTGGGCAAAATCTACACGAGACGGAACGCTCGGAACTACTGCTACAAGCAAAATCCTATCTCGACGATCTAGGGCAACCGTGGACCATCGGTCATTGAAACGGCACCCATGAGATCGCGACATTGGTCAACGAATCGCGATAATCCTCCCAGAGCTCCGCTGAGAGCTCGAGCACATTGAGACTGGCCTCTCGCATGCGGTTACTTGCGCAACATATAGCCACAAGAAGGGATATGCCGCAAGGCAACATGTATTCCTCTGGGCCCACGATAACTTCTGTACTGGGCGAGGGGCCTGCTCTCGCAGAATTTACCATTTCGACACTCTGCAAAAAGATGTCGACCAGCCTGAGCTTCATCTTGACATCCAACTCAGGATCGGTGTACTCGGGCAGGGTGACATGGGCACCGTTATCAGCAGGCGCGCTGACCAGCACCGCGCCGACTGTCGCCGCGGTCTCCATCACCATGCCCTGGCGCCCGAGGCTGCACGGCCTTGGCCAAAAACTCTTGAGCCTAAATGGCAGCAAAGGGTGCCAGGGCATCCACTCGCCCTTATTGAGGCGGCGACTGCGAGAGTACATGTCTCAGAGCAGCAAAACACACATGGGCGGGGCCGCTGGATCAGAGATTGGCGACCAAATGGTGGGCCATCAAGTCAGGCCGAGGGAGAATGCCAGGGCACACCCGGCTGACCATCCCGCAGCAGCCGAAAGACAACAGCCGAAGAGAGAGGGTGGGAGGAGGATGAGCAGGAACCAGTGTAGACCCAAGACTCATCAACGATGTTGGAAAAAAACGCGCCCTCTTCCAAGCTCTTCATTCTCGAAACTTCAACGCCACGAATCAACCTGATTGTTGCGTATCGATGATCCCGAATCGTGCCAAAACATCATTCCTGAGATTTCCACACCGCGAATCAACGCAACTGCTGCGCCCCGATAATCTTGAATCGTTCCAAAACAATATTCCTGGCACGTTCAACATCGATATCTACGGAAATCGTGCAAATGTTTAAGAGGAGTGCGCGCGGCGCTAAAGCGAACACCACATCTGCTGCGGCCGAAGCCACATCGAGCCGTCCCACTCTGAGGAAGCCCCCGCACCAAGGGATGACTGCCATAGTGCGGTCCCCTTCCCAAGGGGGCCGCTTGGTGTGCGGGTCCCTCGTTCGGGCAAGGCCTGCTCTTCGGAGTCGTGCCAAGCAATTTTCGGGTCGGGCGAAAGGGGTAGATAGCAAAGGGGGGGTTTGAGAATCAGCTCACGTAGCTGATTTTCCCGGCGCCTCTCGGCGCTGGACGGAGCTATGTATCGAGGAATGGGCCTCTCGGTGAGGCCGAAACCAGCTGCAGGCAGCAAATTTCGTAACCCTCCCTTTCCCAATCCCCCCCTTTCGTCCGGCCCGAAATTTGTCTGTCCCTGTCGTGACGTCGCTGTACCTGTCGTCGTCGTCCCTCCTCGGACACGCAGGTCTCCCGTGGGCTTCCCGCAGCAAACCCGGCTGGGGCCCCCACCTCTGTCAAGGGTGTGATGGGACGCACAAAGACGTACTAGTAGTATATGTCCTCCTTGAAGGCTCGCGTCCGACCCGAACATGCAGTATACCCACATTGTAACATATCTTTTCTCGGGCGGTGGCCAGAGCGAGCCCGCCACGACGCATCTACTACAAGATTTATCGGTGCCCGCGTCGCCCCCGGGGGGGAGGGGGGGGCGGCGCACACATAGTATTAGCACGTTGGGGTGACGCCGATGTGAGGCGCGCGAGCCAGCGGCCAGCGCCGCGCTGCGGTAAGGGGCGCGCGGCAGTGACACGCACTCCGCCCCAGCGAAGCGAAGAAGGAGAACAGGATGGAGAAAGGAAGGGAGCGAGGGAGGATGAAATATCCCCCCACGACGCCACTGCGACTGCAGTGGAGGCATTCCTCCTCGTCATCCGCCACCTCCCCCTTCTGGTCCTCGTCCTTCCCGTCCTTCCTGATCCTTCTCATCCTGACTCACCTGCGCACGCACGCGCGTGCGAGGGGGGAATAAGGATTGGGAGGCAGGAAGCGGGCGGAGGGAGCGGAGGCCGCTTGAGCGAAACGAAATAACGGTTCAGACGCGTGGGCTTCGTGAGTCGTAGCCAGGACGAGGAACGAAAACGGGTGAGGATAGTCCTGGCGCTCTGGAGGATGTGTCGGGCGTCGCGACCTTCTCAAAACGTGCTGGAACGCTCTGAGCGCGTTACGGAACGCTCTGGAACGGACTTAGGGAAACAAAAAATTACATAAACATAAAAACTCGGAGGTCCGTGCGGATTTCTCGGATCGGCGCTGGGGCCCCCCAGCGGCGCCGCCGGCGCCGCCCCTGGCGCGCTCCGCGCGCCAGGGAGGGGGGTCCAGCGCCGATCCGAGAAATCTGCGCGGACCTCCGAATGTTTATGTTTATGTCACTTTTTGTTCCCCTAAGTCCGTTCCAGAGCGTAGGACTTGCCCTCGTCCTCGTCCTGAGCCCCGTCTGGCCCCGTCTGAGCCCCGTCTGGCTCCTCGTCCTCGTCCTGAGCCCCGTCTGGCTTTCTGTTTCCCTATGTCCCTAAGTTGTTCCCCTAGGACTTGCCCTCGTCCTGAGCCCAGTCTGGCCCCTGCCACGGCCCTCCGGCCAATCGTGCTGGTGGAGCCGGCCGGGCGTCGGGGCCCCTGTCGCGGCTGCCGCCCGGGTCTGCACGTGGGGGCGGAGTGCGAGGCCGCGTCGGGAGCGGGGGGGGCACCTGGACGCGCCGGGAAGCAGCGCCTGCCACCTCCGTCGGGTCGGGCGAAAATGGGGATAGCAAAGGGGGGCCTTGAGAATCAGCTCACGCAGCTGATTTTCCCGGCGCCTCCGCGCGCCGGGAGGCGGCCATGGCACCGAGGAATGGGCCCAGCGGCGGGGCCGAAACCAGCTGCATGCAGCAGATCTCGTACCCCCCCCCCTTTCCCAATCCCCCCCTTTCGTCCGGCCCGAGCCTCTGCCACGGCCCTCCGGCCAATCGTGCTGGTGGAGCCGGCCGGGCGTCGGGGCCCCTGTCGCGGCTGCCGCACGGGTCTGCATGTGTGAAGGGGCCCCAGGACACACGAATCAATGCACACAAATAAAAGGATCCCCCATAGTTTCCCATATTTTCTCAATTTTTCCCTCCCCCCACCCCCCACCCCCACTTCCCATATTTTCCCATATTTTCCCGGGAGTGGACGGTTGATTGTGTCTGTGTGTTTTTGTTCCCCTCCTGATGCATGTGGAGGCGGAGTGCGAGGCCGCGTCGGGAGCGGGGGCACCTGGACGCGCCGGGAAGCAGCGCGTGCCACCTCTGCTGGCGCTTGGAGCGCGCCTGGGCGGTGTCGAAGTAGGCTGCACGTGGCCAGCCGTGCCACCGTCTGGGGAAGCCCGCTCACAGTCTACCGTAAACCTCGTGGTCCTCCACCGTGCTCACGCCGAGGCAGCGAGGTGGACGCGGGCGGGTGATGGAACGCGTGACCACGCAGACGCTCCCGAAAGCCCAGCGGAGGTGGGGGAGAAGAGAAAAAGGAGGATCACTTCGTGGCTCTCAAGTCTCACTTTCATAAGTCGCTCTTGCCGGCTGAACTCGTTCCAGCGCGCGGCCTCAACTGCTCCACCCGCTCTCCTGAGTTTTTCCGGCCACCTCTGAGAACCACGGCTACGAAACATGTTGACGTACAATCACCGCGTTGCCAGAATGATGGGCAAATTTTCCACCACCACTACCATATGTAGGACGGGGGAGAAGGGAGGATGAGGAGGTCCTCTTCCTCTTCCTCCTCCTCCTCCTCCTCCTCCCTTTCCTCCTTGTGGTACTGGTGGTGGAAAATGGGCCGGCCAATCACACAAGGAATGCGTGGTAAACGAAGGGGTTTCAAGCGGAACCGCCGCCGTTATAGAATTATGGCGAGGCATTGGCTGAGGCACTCGTAGATGAGGAAGCCATGGTCTGGAAGACGGTGGGACACCAAGTGTGGTTTGGCCATGGATCTCACCGCCGCACTTATCAGCGAACAGCGTTCAAACGATCCCTATCCACACGAGCGTGGCTTGGGACCCACAGGCTGATCCCCCTCCTAAATGGGGACAGAGGCCTTTCCCTTCGAGCTTCGACGGCTACATCCCCACCCGGGGCGGTGGGATGGTAGGGATCGGGATAGACAGTGGAGATTTGACCAGGGACCGATCGTCCTGGCATTCCTATAGTCCTACCACGAAATTCTCTGGAAACCCAAAAATTTTCTAAGAACAAAAACTAGGTTCATAAAACATAAACCCGATGTGTTCAAACAAAACAGACTCCGCCAGAAAAGTTCTAAGAACATTTCGTGAAAACCTCAAAAAGTTCTTAGAACATCGTTTGGTAGGGCTATAGGCGAGCCAGGACACTTCGCCACTGCTTGAGAAATAGGGAAAGGGGGATTCGGTTCAGCGATGCCGAGCCCCCCCAAAAACAACATCCAGGCACCCGAGGCCCATCGGGCACACTCCTCAACACAGGCGCCCCCCCCCCCCCCGCCAGCTTTCCGCCGAGGGCGAGGACCCGCCCCCCGAACACGCCTCTCGCGGAGCAGCGCGGCGCTCGAAGGGATCACGCCTTGCCTCGCTTGGCGCGAAGACGCGGGCCGTGGAGGCTTCCCAGGCTGGGTCCGAGCAGGCGGGGTCGGAGGATCGCGCCGCATCGGCGACGCATCGACGCCGCACCGACGATGCACCGGCGGCGTCGGCGATGCATCGACGACGCCGGCGTGGATAATATCGGTTTCCACGTCGAACCGCATCGCCGATGGATCGGCGATGCGGCGTCATCTTCCGAACACAGCGATTCGGACCCCATCTGGGCGTCCTAGAGTCCAGGACTCGGGAAGGAGCATTCCCCGAAACTGGTTTTCCATTCAGATTGTCGTCACTATCCATGACCATGCATAGGACGAAACCGAATGAATGTATTGCCCATCGGTCGTCGGATCCGGCAAATGTATCTTGATGTTAGTGGGTTGCTCTGTTTGCTGATGTTCTTCTCTATGCAGCTCGCGAGAAGCGAATCTCCCACGACGAACTGGTGAAAAGATGGCTAGGTCAGTCCGCTAATGATCGAGCCACTCAAATCATGGTAATGATAAGATCTGGGAATCTGAGATGTAGAACAACAGGTTATCATGGTAATGATAAGATCTGGGAATCCGCGGCTCAGAATATCCGTTCTTGAATTTAGTAAACAGGTTCTTGCATTTACTAAATGATGTGTTGTCTTGTTTTGATAAGGCCACACGATGTAATACATCCGCTTCTCGCTTTAGCAAATCATCGCTCTGTTTCGATAAATTGTTTGAAGAATGCGCGCTCGTTCAACGCCATGGTTTTTGTCAGCTGGTGAGTAAAGCGGAGCTACTCGAACCAATGCAAAGATGCGCTTGTGCATGCGGCGCGGGCCAGCCGGCCGGCCAGCCGGGCGGGTTGGCCGCGCGCGCGCGTTGCCCTGAGTGACCAAACAGCTTGGGAGAGGGTCTCTCTCCCTCAGATCCAAGCCCTACCAACACTCTGCACAGGAACAGAGCGGAGGCCAGCTGAAAGGCGCGAGGGAAGTGTTAATAATGACTCCCCCCGCGGCCTCCCGGCGCGACGCCGTCGCGCCAGTGCACGCGTCGGCGCGCTGGCTAACATCCCAAGCAAAAAAAGGGGGCACGCCGATCAGCCTTCGGCAAGTCCCGAAAGCGGGTGAGGGAGTACTCCCGTCA